GCTTTGCCCAGCGACTTAGACCCACTCCCATGTATTTTGACCCGATTATTATAGTTATGTGTTACAAAACCGCCAATATTTTTCAACAACTGGGCATCATTTAGTTCATTCTTTTCAACAACATTTCGATTGATATTTCCAGAGATTAAGGCAAGGCAAAGCAGCTTTATTTATAGAGCACATTTCAAACACAGAGGCATTCAGTGCGCTTTACAATTATCAGGACATGATGTGAAAACAACATAAAAACACAAATCAAAATACACATAGATAGAATTATAGTTTAAAGCTAAAGGAGAAGATAAAGTTACAGCACAGATTGCAATGGAAATGATGCAACATAAGAAATGGAAATTGGAAAAAAGTTTTAAAAAGTTGCTTGGACATGATGCTTCAGTTTGAACAGTTGGGTTGTAAGCTCTACTGCAAATGCAGAGGTTGGATTAATCAAAGTCAAAGACTCATTAGTCATCATCACACGCTGGTGAAATTACATCTCTGCATTTGACCCATCCCTTTGGGAAGGGGTGAGCTGCAGCAGTGGCTGTACTCGGGAAATATTTGGTGGTTTAACCTCCCAATCCAACCCATTAAAGCCAAGTGTCAAGCAGGGAGGCATTGGGTCCTATTTTTGAAGTATTTGATGTGACCCAACTAGAATTAGAACCTTGTTCTCCCAGTCCCAGTGGGGACAATCACACCACTAGGTCAGTGAGAAGGTCAAATATTCACATTTCAGATCTTTCATACTGTCATGATATTTTGTTAACTTTAACCTTGGAAAAAGACTCTTCCACTACAAGCTAAGTAGAATCATCAGGGTTTGAAGAACAGCATTGGATTTTCTTAGAGTTGAGTGTTGAGTGCACTGGATGCTGCTCACAGAAAATAATGCCTTTTTATCTTGTGAGTGGATTTATAAAAGTAACTTCTGAATATGGCTTTCTCTTTCCTGCAGTCCTGGAGAAGAGTGGGCCAGCTGACTGACTTCAAAAATGTAAAAAAAAAAAATCTTTCAAGTTAAGCTTCACACCACAGGGAACAGAACAAGTCATTAAAAGACTGTGAGCATAAAAATGGACTGATAATAAGAATCTACTTGAAGAGAAATTTTACTAATCTCAGATTGTGTTTGTCACAAAAACTACTTTAAATTATTTTACTTTGATGGAGGAATGAAACTGATTGAGAAGAAAAGCATGAGCCTGAGGGAATCTAAAATCATGAAAAATTTCTGTGTGTTTATAAGAATGTAATGAATTTAAATGCAACATAATTTTTATAAATTCAAGTGTAAACAAAATGTTAAACATAGGAGCAAAAAAGAGCAATGGGGATTCGGTATTTACTTGTGAGAGAATTGATATATTGTGCATGCAACAAGATCTGACATCCCACCAGTGTTCCACTCCTTTCCACCACACTGATCATCAAAACTCCTTTCCTCCGCTCTTTATTTTCTCCCAAACTCCTTTCACTGTGAGGTGGCCCTCGCTCGCTCGGTTCTTCCTTATTCCCTCAATTCCATCTGCTTTCTAGCTGCTTTCTTTTTCTGTCAGTCTGACTCCTACATCTCCAGTAATGGTCAGCAAAACAAACCATTACAGAAATTCAGGCAACTCAGAAGGCATTTTGGTCTCATTCTTGACATGTTTTAAAGCTATGCCCAATGCTTTACACGCCTTTAGAGTAACAAACCACAGCTTTCAATACATTCAACTGCAAACCTAGGACACAGTGTAAAGCAGAACATACAAGGATCTGAACATTTACTTATTATAACAGATACATAGAACAATTTTGTTCATGCCTTTATTGGACAAGATTTTTAGACACAACCAACTTGGTAAGGGAATCCATTTTGGAGGCCTAAGGACTAGCTCTCTGCTTTTTGCAGATGATGTGGTCTTGTTGGCCTCATCAGCAGTTCACAGCTGAGTCTGAAGCAGCTGGGATGAGAATCAGCTCCCCTAAATCTGACACAATGGTCTTGAGTCAGAAATGGGTAGAATGCCTTCTCTGGGTCAGGGACAAGGCCCTGCCTCATGTGGAGGAGTTTAAGTATCTTGGGGTACTGTTTACAAGTGAGAGAAAGATGAAGAGTGAGACTGGTAAATCAGTATTGTCAGATTTTTCTCCTTTCCAAAAATCAGAGGGACCAAGTATTTGTTTACAATCTGTGAGCCCACAGCGTTGCCAAGTCTGCAAAGGCAAATGCTGCTGCACAGGCTTCACTTCAGTAGAATGTAAGTAGAATGTGGTTTCCTGCTTGCACCGGAACCTAAATTATTTTTCTCTAATCTCAAAATCTCAGCATGCAGGCAGCGTTTGCACTCAGAGTGCTGTCATCAGCTCTGACTGAATATTGACTTCTGCCTTGCTGGACTCACACTAGCCATATCTTCATATACTCATAACTTTCTATGAAGTCTAGGGAGGCTGATTATGCTGTATTCCACTTACATGTCATCAGTTCTTAGCCCTGCGTTTATTATTATACGCTCACATCTGATGATAGTGGACATGTTCAGGCATGAAACCTCTCAGGCTCCGCCCCCTCTTGTTTACACCTTTCCAACTGGATTAGAAGTGATATGAAAGGCAGCAACTTGTGTAAGTTATTTCACACCATCCTGGCTTGTGGCTGTGATAAATATAGATGATGTGGCGAACATTGTGTGCAGTACACTGTGGTTAATATAACTATTTATTGACCACCTGGTGTCATGCAGAAACAGAACACCAATGCCATTTTTATTTTATATCACCCATTCCTTTGAAACTTGCAGGAATAAACTGACAATTTGATGAATGCAGCTGAGGAATCGACCGTTAGACATAATGACCACTGCTTGCCTCGTACAGTTTATCTGCTGGGCTTGTGACTTCTGTTATTTCAATGTCTAATTTCTTGTTGCTCCTAACGTCTCTTTCCCTGCAGCAATCTGAAACATCTATCACCAGCTGGCTGATAAAGACTCTAGGACTGTCTTGGGCATTTTGAGATAATGCGATACATGCTGTGATTTTTAACCTAAAGTTAGTGACAGCATGATTCCTCACTGACTCCTGTAGAGTTTTTGATTATTTTTGGAGCTTCATATTAAAACAAAGTCTTAGCAAGCAAAGTCAAGTGCAGCGGTGATATGCAATGGAGGTCATTGTCTGAGATATATTAGATTAGAACATATTTGAGGTCTGCTCAGGGTCAGGTGTAGAAATAAGACTAGGGTCATGGAAATCTATTCCATTGGTTTAGGAAATCATGCACACATTTTGTGTAGATTACCAGTCACAAGGGAGCAACCCAGTGCATTTGCATGGCTAGACGTGGTGTGGAGGACTTGATGATGTTTACATCAGAGTAGGGAAGAAAGGGAATTTAAATGACTTCATGTAGTGTGGGTATTCCAAATGGCCTGACAAACAGAAAACATCCAGTGAGCGGCAATTGTGTTGATGAAAATGTCTTGTTGACATCAGAGAAAATCGGCAGACTGGTCTTAGATTAAATAATCACTGGTTCCAAACACGGTCTACAGAATACCAACCCTGAACAGAAGCAAAAGACCATAGCAGCTCCTTCTTAAGAACAGGAAACTGAGGGAACAGTTAGCAAGACCACCAGAATTGGGCAATATTGGGCAATTTCTATGAGTACCTATTCAGCGTGGCTCAAGTCATCGCTGTGCTGTTTCTGACCTTTTCCATTAGTAATGGTTGCTACCCCCTTTCCAGTACATGCTTCAATGTGGTTACCAAGCATACAAGCTGAAAATACAACACGCAAGACTGTTGGTTGCCGATTGGACAGGGGGTGGAGTCACTGGTTGCTCTAGTATTCTGCCTCACTGCCTTTTCAGAGGTCAGAGACTGACAAAAAGCCACAGCTTAAGCAGAATGTTCAAGACCACCATGTCTGCCATTGTTTTGTTTTTGTGCCACACACAGATGATGAGTAGCAGGAATGCAGCATCAGAGACTAGAAAAATGTTGCCTGGTCTGATGAGTCTGTCTGTTGCAACTTTTAGATGGTCGGTCATAAATTGGTGTGAACACTATGAGAGCAAGGATAAATCTTTCTAAAAATAAATTGGAAGCCAGTGTAAAGAGGTCAGAACAGGAGTGATGTGCTCCAATTTTCTTGTGCCAGTTAAAAAATGTGCTGCAGCATTTTGCACCAGAGTATTCTGACCAACCTCTAATACAAGGGAGTTGCAATAATCTAAGTGTGAGGTTATAAAGGTGTGGATAACTGTTTCCAAATCCTGCCGGGAAAGAAAAAACTTTACCTGAGCTAAACATCTTAGGTGACAAAATGAGGACTCCACCCCCTCAATTACCAAACATCAAAGCTTTTGTTGAATCCTTGCACCACATTTAACACTCCAGAAAAAGAAAAGCTTAGGTAATAGCTAATTTGATAAGTGTTTAAAACTGTTATTTTTTCTGACTTAAGGGTTTTAAAACATGTCCATGCTGACCACATTAATAATTAAATATGTGGGAAATGTTTGCAAGCGGTACATTTGAAGTGGTCTCTGGTAGGAATGAATGCCTTGTAAGCTGTACTCGGGGCAAAAAAAAAAAAAAAAAGCCCAGAGTGGCTTGGCACAGCGTGGACAAGTCTGCTGCAGTGGCGAGCGGAACACCTCGACAGGATTTGGATTCTGATTTTCTGATATTTAGACATCTCTCCTCAGATTGGATAACAGTAACGCGACTGTACCACTGACTTGCAACATTGATGTTTTATCTCCTCAAACATCAGAAGCCTGGAAGAATTTTTCTGTGTGGTAGTGTTGCTAATGCTAACAGTTAGCTTCTACTTTTCTGGACATTAAAACAAATGTAAAGTATTGTTTTATCACCTTAGTCAACATTTTTGATGATTTTATAAGTACGTAAAAATGTTTATGTTTATGTTTATTCATTTAGGAGACACTTTTATCCAAAGCAACTTACAATTTATAACCTATAGGGCATGTTGTGATCTGTAGGGGAAACCGGAGTACCCGGAGGAAACCCACGCATGCATGGGGAGAACACGCAACTCCACGCAGAAAGGCCGCAGCCGAGTTTTGAACCTGCAACCTTCGTGCTGCGGGGCAACAGTGCTAACTACTGCGCCACCATGCAGAAATGAAGACAAAGATTCAAGATGTGTTCCTCAAGAAATCAAAAGACAAGAGAAAGGAGTTTCTGCATCATCAAACACAGACTCCTCTTATGTGAAGCTCAGAGCAGTTATCAAACATTGATTCGAGCCACACAAATCCTGTCTGTCTGTGGCTGCCATTAAAGGGCTGACAGGCGTTTGGTTTGGAATGCATTAACAGTGTGAATCTGTGAAATAAACAGGGATGATGAAAAAAGCTTGCTTCTCTTTTTTGAAGTGTACACAAACAAGAAATAATTTAACCGGACCTAAAAAAAAACCCATTTAGCGCAAACAAATGCAATCACTCGTGTTAGCATTGGTGTTCACAAAATTATTCAACCATCTTCTCTGTTGGGCTCGAAACATGAGCCACAAATATCAGGCCAAAAGGATAAAGAAGAGAGCAGGAATGTACACAGACAAATGAACGGGGGATGCTGCATGGGGGAGTAATCACAGAGGAGCTCCTCAACCGGAGAACTGGGAAATACAGATAAACAAGGACCTGTTTGATCTTCAGAGAAGCAATATTATTGATTGTATCTGCATGAGGCCAGTTAGATTCTGCATTCATAAATAAAATGGAGCGTAGTGGTGGGCTGGGAAGGTAAGCCACTGCGTCAGAAGAGAACCGAAGGCTACTTTGTCTGTGCCGAAGGCACTTTGAGTGAAGATGTCGACGGGCGGTCACCATGCTTGGGGGTAAAGACTCACCTGGTGGATGCAGAGCTGCACCCCCTACTAAGACAAATCAAATATTTGAACTTCAGCAAGAAGCAATGAGGGGAAAACAGAGACACTGAGCTTGGACACACGTTGTACAGGAAGTCTGGTGAAAAATAGAGATGGAAGATGACAGAGTCTAAATGAAGGTATTTAAACATCAGAAATCGGTCTTGCATTGAGAAGATTCGTATCGTAAGACATTTTAAGACTTTTGGTTCTTTTAACCATTTGAACAAATTTACTTTTTTTTTGTTAAAGGTGTGGAACACTCAGCTAAACAATATGGTTGCTGTGTTCTCTAGTAGGAATGGATGCCTTGCGAGGGGGGGGGGGGGGGGTACCTCTGCATCGTTTCTGTGACCTCAAAGTTGCCCACATGACAGCTGAGCTTCAGGTGGCAGGTTTTGGAGTCGCATTTCCTGACATTTAGACAGCTCTTCCCAGATTGGTTAACAGCAGCGCGACTCTACCACTGACTTGAAACGTGGATGTTTTATCTTCACCAATAAAATTAATGTGGAGGACCTTGTGCTGAGTGGTGAAGTTGCTAATGATAATTTTTAGCTTAAACTGGCTAAGACGTCCATTGGTAATTCCCAGACATTAAAACAACAGCCTTCTCTGTCATGAGTCAAGATCGGAGAGTCCGTGAGCACTAATTCACAGTGTGATGTAGACCTGTGAGGATTTTTGCTGTCTATTTTCTATTCGAAGCTAATGCAGTAGAATTGTGTAGGAGACTATTTTCATGCTTAGCATGCATGAAAACCCCAGAGTGACTGAATTGATCAGAAAAAAAAAAGAAATTTTTAGTCACCCACACCTTTAAAGTCAGACTGTTGCTACGTTGCAGCTGGTACTCCTTTTGACTACATGATCTTTTGTAGATCTGAGCTACAGAGTAGACACTTTTTTAGCTCAATGGGGACGCTTACGTTATGTAGAGTTACTGTTCCAAATGAAAGCATAAATAGGGCTACTGTTGTGGCCTAAGGAGATAACATGTACATATAAAGATATTGGACTTTCAAAATAAACAATCTATCTAGAAGTCAGTTTGAGGCTTATATACATTGAAACTTGTTTGTCTTTTTTTTTCAGAGTTGAAAGGGATTTTAAAGAACACCCTGGAGTCTCTACACATTAGGATTAGCCTGACTTTGCCTACTCAGCCACAACCTCCTTCATCAGGTCACGTACTGTACGGGGGAGGATTTCACAAGTTACGTGTCTCTTCAGGCAAACAACCTTCTGATGCAACTATGGTTAAACTCCACTGCAATTGAAAAGGTGCCAAAAGTGTTCTCCTCTTAATGCAAGAGTGTTTAGAAGTAAAACTATGACTGGTGTTCAAACGTGTAACCAGATGAGTTCCATAACTTTAATCAAATTTGAAGAGAGAAAGATGATACATTTTATTAAAGGGGACAAGCTCCAAATTTGCTGCTTTAAATTGTGAAAGCTCATGTAGACCTCTTTTCCAGTTTTGTTTTTTAAAACACAGCAAATTTAGTGCTGCTCCTTAAATGTTGTCTCCAATTACATGCTCTTTGTTAATGTGTCCTTGTTCTTGTTGCTTCCTATTCTTAATGTTTGTAAAGTTGTTCAAAATCAGATTTCAAATTAAACCAAAATCTCACACTGTGTGTGTGTGTGTGTGTGTGTGTGTGTGTGTGTGTGTGTGTGTGTGTGTGTGTGTGTGTGTGTGTGTGTGTGTGTGTGAGTGTGTGTGTGTGTGTGTGTGTGTGTGTGTGTGTGTGTGTGTGTGTGTGTGTGTGTGTGTGTGTGTGTGTGTGTGTGTGTGTGTGTGTGTGTGTCCGCCGCGGACCCAACAGAGCCCAGGGACCCAGTTCCCACCAGGCTGGTGGGATCTGGGTGGGAACTGGCCCCAATAGGCACCTCTGTTGCCAAAATGCCACCCAGGGCATGGAGACCCCAGCCCATCTTTCCAGGGCCCAAAGCTGCAGCATTGCAGAGCTCCGAGGGAACTCTAAATGATTTTAGAGTAAATTATGATAAACGGAAGGTGACTGTGTTGGTTCTACTGGATCTAAGTGCTGTCTTTGATACAGTAGACCACACTATTCTTTTAACTCGTTTGAAACGGATCGGCCTCTCTGGTGCTGTTCACCAATGGTTCACATCCTACCTCACAGACAGGACTTTTATGGTCAGTTTGGAAACCTGTTCCTCGAGGGTTCATGGGATTACATGTGGTGTGCCCCAGGGTTCAATTTTAGGCCCAGTGCTTTTTAACATTTATATGCTCTCTCTTGGCAGTGTCATCAGGAGACACGGGGTGAATTTCCACAGTTATGCTGATGATACACAGCTGTACATCTCTGTGTCTCCTGATGACACATGGCCAATGGACACACATTTTAATTGCATTTTAGACATCAAATCTTGGATGGCAGAAAACTTTCTCCAGCTCAAGCAGGACAAAACTGAAGTTTTAGCTATCGGTTATCGGTTTTAACTGAATACTACCACTTTTTAAATTATTTAATTACTTATGTTATTTATTTATTTATCTATTTTTTATTTATTTAATGTATTCCTTCTTTATACGTGCTTTTTAAACAGTTTTCTTCCATGATCTATGATCAACATTATTTTAATATCTATATAAATTTTTATATTACAATTCTCATTTCAGCTCTTTTGATTTTATATTTTAACCTTAATTTAGCCTTTTTCCAGTGCATCCTCTGAGGGAGCCCTCTGCCCCGGTGGCGGTGGTCAACTGTGGTGGCCTGGGTGCTTTCCAGGTGTGCCTAGGTGGAGGTGGGGGTCTCTGCCCTCCACGTGAACCAAAGATGTTTCAATCGGGACATCGTCCAGGTTTCCCAGCAAACAAAGAGAGAGGGATGCAGGGATATGACATAGAGAGTGGGCATCCCTGCCTGGTCCCCCTCTGAAGACAGAAGCTAGCTGAAATTTGGTCATTTGTCCTGACACGTGCTGTTGGTGAATTGTATATTGCTTGTAGCCAGTTTATGAATAAGTTCCCAAACCAAATTTGTTTAAAGTTGCAAATAAGAACTTCCAGTTAACTCTATCAAAAGCCTTTTCTGCATCTAGAGATAATATACTAGTTTCTATGTTTCTACTGCAAGATAAATCTATCACATTAAGTAATCTACGTGAGTTTGTGGATGACTGTCTACCCTTAATGAAACCAGTTTGGTCAGGGTGTATTATAAAGGGGGTTACCTTCTCTAATCTTTTTACCAGGGCTTTACAAATTGTTTTGAGATCAACATTAATAAGAGAAATTGGGTGATAGCTGGTAGGAAATACAGGGTCTTTGCCTGTGTAACGTCACCAAATGGCCTGATTTTAAAGATCCCACCGGTCATATGCTGCTAGAGCAAATAACCCTGGCTGCTACATGTTCTGCTGTATCTTCCCTTGTCAGGAGTCTGTGAGTCTGCACAACTCAACTCAGCATTTTAATCAGATGACTTCATCAGCTGAGTGCAGCTTCACCAGATAATAAAGATGAACAGTAATATTCCTTTCCCCAAGGTTCCTTCACAAGAGAACTGTTTTAGATAAATCTTTATTCACAGAAGAAAGAATATTTCATAATTAAAGTAGTAATTTTATAATTCAAAATAATCATTGAAGAAAGACAATTTTATGATTAAAATCATTACATATTGCCATGTATAATTAAGCAATGACATGCTCAGGAATCTGTATTCTATGATGGTTTAGTATGTTTACTAGATGAGGTCATCACCATCTGCTCATTACACCAGACAAGAAGTAAGGCCAAGATAAGAAAGCATGACACATAACTAACCTTGTCCCTAGACTCAGAGACTCTGTGTCTCAGAGCATGTGTTTCTGAGATTCTTGGTAAGTTTGGTAATAGATAACAACAGGTATATAAATCAGCCACTCTGCTTTCTCGGCAGCCAAGAGAGAAAGTTAGAGACTGGGCATCTCTTAGCAGATCTCTAGCTCAGAAAGATTTTGAAACAGTGTCAAAACCTTATAGCTTTTTGCACCTGCGAAGCTGAACAACAAGATAGTTTTCCTGCAGAACAAAGCTGATTTTGCAAAACTCCTTCAGAGTTATTTTAAGACGCGTGGTTTCCATCCATCTGGCGTGACCCGGGAGACATCTCTGTACTGAAAGGTGGTACCTCGGTACTCTACAGCCCTCCGGTGCTAGCAGTGATCCGACCCCTCTCCCTTTCGGATCCTCAAGGAGGTCGCCAAATCCGGGTAATGTAGACACACAGATAGCATCTGGATGTGGTTCTGATAACATCTTTCTAGCTTATTTGCAAACCAAATTCTTTCCATCCAGAACTCAGCTCTGAGAAACGGAGATTCTGAATACATTATATTCACACATAGTTTTCAGACACCCATCTTTTAGTTCCATCCACTCACAGGATAATAGTTTAAAGCATTTGTCAAGTCTTAATTATTTGTAGAATAAATTATTATTTGTTTGCAAACACTGACTGGTTCTTGAATCATAAACACAGTGTGCATGATCCCTTAATAATTAAAAGAATCCTAGAACCTTCTAATTAATCATCCTAAGACCAAGCAAGGTGATGTTCAATAATTAA